CAGTACAGTATTGGTAATTTAACAACAGTAGCATGATACAAACTCCAAAGAATCCAGTATGGTTTATTCTTTATTTTTTATTTATATAGCACTTTGGAAGTTGTATCATACTATACTCACTTAAGACAATCAGTAACAAAAAGAACCGAGACAAATTTGTATGGTTGGTATTATAATCATATATATATATATACACAGGTGAAACTATCCCCCGCTGGACACCATCCCGGTATTTCTGAGTCAAGGTTTCGGGGCCTGAATTTTTTATGTTACTAGTTAGGCCTAACAATCGGGTATTAAAATAGGACTTTTAATGATGATAGGCTCTAGGCTAGGCCTAAAATGTAGGCTAGCCAGCCTTTGTTGAAAGGGCACTTCATGAAAAGGGGGGTTCGTTCGAACCCAACGAACCCCCCAGGCTATGGGCTTCAACACCGTCTAATTACGATCAAACAGGACCAAGGAGATAGGATGCACACCATTAGTTAGCATTTTTATTTCACAAATATAAAAGATGATTTACTTAATTTATCATGCCTACGACCCTGGCTACGGTCTTGTACGTACATCTGATTGCATTCTATAGTCAAAATACAAATGTACCGGCATGTTATTTTTAATATCAGGATGGTTGCAGTATCTTCTTCAAAAGGATTCCTATTCCTGTATTCAAATAATCATAATTCAAAGTTTCTTATACCAGTCATAGGCCTATGTATGCAAATTCATTTGAACTTCATTGAGATTAAGCCTGTCGATAGAATACCCGGTCGGCAGTTGAAGTCTCGATTAAAGAGCATGGAAGCATTGCTTCCAGTGTTAAATTGGCTATTCTGACGCCATCACACGGTTGTCGTAGGGTATGCTCTGACACGCATTGACTCACTGAATATGTGATTGGATGAGATTGAAAACCAGCCATGCAGAACTTCTAAGTAGCTGAGAGTACCATGCGATCCAGCGGTAGGTCCGACTGCGACTTATCCTAGATACCAAAGTAGGCCAAACATTAAAAAACATTACTATTCCAATGAACTGTAGCAATCCACTCGAAAAATTAAGGTTTATATAGAAAATTCAGGCTAAGATATGCTATATAAAATGGAGAAACTGTACTACTATATCTTTTTTAATTTTTTTTTTTAGCCAGGGTATGCACTGCATACCTTGCTTGCCGCCACTGCTGCTGACATAGTCTCTGACTGCTTCTAAACCAATTCAAAACTATTAGCAATGGTTACTGCTTTTTCTAAGGATAAATCATTCCCCTTTTGCAGTAATATTTTCTTCAACTTCTCTGATAGACATCCATCTATCAATTGATCTCTAATATTATTCTCTTTCTCTGTACCGAAATCACACAGATCCCCTTGCTGTCTCAGTAGAAAAATAAAATTCATGACAGTTTCAGCTTCCATCTGGTTTAACTTTTGAAATTTGTGTCTCTCAAACGGTGAATTAACTTTTGTCTCAAAATACGCATCAAGCTTTCTAATGGCTGTTTTATATGCATCAGGCATTTCCTCTCCTTCTGTAAGTACCAAATCTGGGAGTGTGAAATATATTTCTTGCAAGCAAATGCCTCCTGAGTGCAACAATATAACTTCTTGTTTGGTGGCATCTGTTACACCTTTCGCCGTTATCAAGATATGCACCGCCTTCTTCCACTTGCGCCATTTTGACGCTTGATTCGTCGGATCATTGCCGATCTCAAATGGTGGAATATTGTCGATTGTATCTATTCTAATCATTTTAGAATATCCTCAAATTGCTCAGTGGCTACTTATTAAAACTATCATGTAGAATTTTAAACCAAACCATTGACATGTATTTGGACCAAATTTACTACATATAATTACAGTCCAGCACGCACATTCCAGTTCGTAGCCAAAGAGGCTGTTTATCATACTTGTCAAGCTAGATATAAAAAGGCAATATCGTTCATTGTGTATTAGGGCAAACTTTAACTAGGAAATTTAGCAAATGTCTGTAGATATAAAAATTTGTTTATTTAAAGCATACTGTCTTAGTATGTATTGTGCGGCATTATGGTGTGATTACAAAAATGCTTTTATGATGATTTTAAGACGTCCAAGACGATGTAGTGCTAGTGAAATGTTTGTTTCTAATAATGTACCTTCATCCTATGAATATCTCAGGAAATCTGTGTACAGTTTTAAGACCAAAATTAATAAGAGTTGCAACGGCTTTATCAAATATATATAAACTATATGCCATTAAAAGTGGAATCAGTTGTTGATTTCGGGGACGGACCATTATTCCGAAGGCCCATTGGTCCGAAAGTCAACAACTTTATTGGAACCACATTAAACATTGCCAAGATGAAATTTGCAAACAAACGATAAATACTTCGTTTAAAAAAAAAAAAAAAAAAAAGCACTTAAAACAAAGGACCCTAAAATGTCTGGGAAAAGGCTAAACAATTAAGAAATACAGAATGGAAAGACCTTATAATGATATTTTAGTGTTTAAATAGTATTATTAAAAACTTTTTGATACTTTTATCCCCTACTAGCATTTTTTTTCTGGATTCTCTCCTGCTGATAATGTTAACAAAGGTGACGAATGATCTTTACGATTATAATGATGATGAGGATGTTGGCGACGATGACAAAGATTATTTGGGTATTAAAACGCCAACCAAATATATAAATATTTAAATAACAATATTTATAAT